CCGTGGACATCTGATGTTGGTGGCAGAAGAATGTGCTGCATCCCCTCGAACAGCACAGCCGGTGTCCATTTCAGAACAACAGGCTCTGGAGAGTGTTCCTCTTAACACAGTTCAAGTATGCACATACTGTATGTGAGGTGAAAACCATTCACACGTTACAAACTAAAAGCAACATTTATAGCAGCAAACTGAGAACAGCTTTCAGGAGGAAACAAAAATAAACTGAGCAAAGTGAGACACTGGGGAGTAAAGGATAAGCCTCATTATTATCTGATAGTGAGCCGTGGCTCCTGCACATGAAACGAACACTATAACCTGTGAGTCTGGAGTCTCTGCAGTGCAATAACAGCTGATCCAGTTCAACACTCCTCAGGCAGGTTGATGAGAACAGCTATGACAACACGGCTCTGCCCTGTGAAGCATTTCAACTCATAGCAGAACAGCAAAAACTGGAGTAAGACAGATTCACAGATCCACTTTGTGGGGACCTGAATTGCTTTGTAACACAAAAATGTGATTGGAGGATGTGACTACAGGCAAGTTCCGAACTACCACACTGTAGTACTGGACTCTGTGAGACCAGATGACAGGGATCTGGATTGGAAGTGCAAATCAACCTCAGATTTTTTTTTTTTTTTTAAGTGAAGCCCCATCAGGGTTATAACATCACTTTGACGTTCACCCCTGTTGTGTGCAGAGGGACTGCAAAGGGGGAAATTCAATGCAATGTCTCATTTAAATGGACTACAGAGTTAAACAGGTAGTCCATAGTTAACATACAGACACTCCTACCTGCTCTGCACCACACCCCTGGCTTTTGTTCCCTGCAGAACTCTACCCGCATAAGCAACAAGACTGTGACAGCAGTTTTATGTTGACACAATTCTCAGCTACGGTGTATGATGATACTGAAATGTACATGTATGTGGGCTTGGAGCTCGTACAGATGTTAAAATGTCTCCTAAGGGGTTACTTAATAAAGTCCATAATCAAAGCCACTAGCTTCATAATCCTCTTTTCTTGCTCCAAATAATGCAGAGCAATTTCACTGCTTCTCCTTCAACTTCCATCCTACGCATTTTCCATATCCCTTCTGTCAGTCTTTCATTTTTTTCTGCTCCCTCTGAGTTCAAGGGCGCAACTCTGTACAATTAAAGGAACGGGAGAATCTCCCTTCTTCCTCCTCTTTCGGTTTCATCTCATTTTCCATTTATTTCTCAGGTCAGTTTAAAAAGATCCACATCCATTATCCTTCACATCCAACAATCCTGTTTTGAGATTGGTCAGAGGGTCCCGTCAGTCATGTGGGAGAGCCAGTCAGTAGGTGGGAAGAGATGAGGACGAGGGCTGCAGGGAGCCAGAGGAATTTGAACGTCTCATGTGAGGGAGGAGGTAGGAGTCCGAGCACAGCTGGTGAACATCGAACCTGTCCTCTTTGCGGTAGGCCAGACAGCGACGGATAAATGCCTGCGGAACAGAGGACAGAGCTTTACAGACTGAGATGCAGTCTGTGTGTGGCTTTAGTCTACTTTGGGGCAAACGCTGCACTTTACGCCGTTTGTCTTTACAGCCTGATAGTAGAGCCTAGTCTGCCAACAAGCAACAGGTCTGCCAAAAGCTGTCAGAGATGAACACTTAAGTTACAGTGTAACACCTTGTGATAAATAAACTACAATTGCAACACACCTCAAGTCTCAATTAGGGATGACCAATGATTTTCAAATATTTCACTTGTCATTTAATTTAAAAAAGTATTTCATGCGACTGGTTTTGTCTGTAAAAACAAAGAGCCACCGTTTCCCAGCGCCTGGAAATGGTGTGATAACAAGGTCAGTTTATCATTTTACTACAGCACCAAATACAAACATGCAGAGACCACAGCCATCAAGAAACACAGCCATGGCACCACTGGATAAACTGTACGATGATGAGGCATGTGAGCTGCGTAGTCGTGTGACAAGTGCTGAAAAGGTCTCTGACCACGAACCAGCGTGTACAACTGAATCTTATGTGACCGTCACCTGCCGTTATATAAGCTACTGGAAAGTACACAGTGCTGTTCTTCAGACTAAAACAATGCTGCAGCGGCGCGAAGCACTGGGGACTTACAGGTGAAGTCACAGCATGCGTACATGACAACGTTGGCAGTATGGAGCGAGCCAACACGGAGCAGCTGGACTGGGACTCTCAGCAATGCAGGGGTGTCAATGATCTTCGAATAATTGTCAAATAGTTCCCAGTGAATATCGAATAGCATTTTAGCTTGAAATGCCCATCCCTAGTCTGAAGTCAGTTGAATATGACATTATTTCATCCAGAACTGTCACCTTGCTTTGTTGTTCATACAAATATAACAATCCCTTTAATAATGTATCTCCATTTATACGAGGTCAAATCGGACAATGTCAAAGTACCCTGCTGCTACATCTGTTTGGATTTACAGCACCTTGATTTTTCTGGAATTTAATTACCTGGGCCCAAAAACAAACTTATAAATAACCAGTCAACTTTTTTAGTTGAATTCAGAGAATATTTACTATACAAGGGCAAAGAGATGAAAGATTATATCCATATTACCCACCTCTACGTCCTACTCAGGTCATCAGAGGATACTGTTTAAATGGTAATCCTTAACCCAGGATTTCATTTTACTGGATTAGTGTTCATGGGAGTAAAATTAAGTGGAGGTGGCATTTATTTTAGCAGACTACATGAAGTAAAATTGACCCTTATCTGTGCATGTGTTTTACCTTGGCTTCTGTGCTGGCTTGTGGTTTAGCAGGGAATTGGACCTCCGTGGCTTTGAGGATGGTGTTTTCCTGGAGAATGTCTTGTTGAGACTGGTTGTGACCAAACGGCTGGACACACACACACACACACACACACACACACACACACAAAAAGACCACAGTTTTTTAAATATTAAACAACTACAGCTGTTTTTAGGGACACTGAATTCAGGGCCTAAAGTCTATGTAACGCAGCACTAACGTGTACAAATCAGTTCTTCTACATTTCAGGGCAGTGCCTCTAATAAGTGACTCCAGTGGTCCCCCAATATACTGTTCAGCTCCACATGCATTTGTGTTAATCTCTTAATACAGAAGTCATTTATTTCATTTGCTCTTTCCAAAGTGCAATGTTTTGCGCTGTACCTTGCGTCCGTAGAGGCATTGGAAGAAGATTACTCCCACGGACCAGACGTCCACCTTGTTGGAGATTTTCGGTGGCTCTTTTCCCACCACAAAACACTCTGGAGGGAGGTACCTGCAACGCATGTAAACAACGCTATCTGTGTCATTCAGTGTCACACAGAGTTCACAAACACCTGTGCGAATCAGACTCCTCAGCTTCGCTGTGATTATTTTAGACCATACAAGTGTTGGGAATGAAAAGCAACATTACTGTCACAGTAAGTTGCCCACAACAGTTTCACAATACAAGATAACAAGACAGTAACAATACAACAAGACAGATATGATTAATAATGTATTGACCCTTTCAGAGAGATTACAAACGTGGTTAACCTCTGTACATATGTCACTCTGAAAGGGAAACTGTGTATCTTACCAGTAAGTGCCTGCTCCCTGTGACGTGAGGTCCATCCCATCCACACCATAATTATCATCGTCCATGATTTTGGACAGGCCAAAATCTGTGATTTTGATTTCTCCACACGCAGTGCCATCCACCAATAAGATGTTACCTGTGTGACACACTGACAGTCAGACTCAGTGTTCGACAGAGTAAATGACCCAAGTTCAGGTTCAAACACTGGGAAGGACTGGTTCTAACCACAGCAGTACCACCAGATGCACTTCACTGGAACTGCCAAGTCTAGCCACACCTCATGTCAACAAGCTAAACGATAACAGTAACTGCAAGGACCTTAACTGATTTGAGCCTCTTCAAAGAAGTTGCAACCATCACAAACAAAGCACTAAATGCTTTTCATCCGATCTCAGCTGCCTACATTTACGTCCATTTATGATTCATCCAAAACCTTTTCAACATGTCACCCACCAGGTTTGAGGTCGTAGTGGATGATAGGAGGCTTGATCTCGTTGAGGTAGCGCAGGGCGCTGACAATCTGCATGACAATGGAGCGGGCCTCCTTCTCTGTCATTAGCTTGTTTTGTTTCAGGTAGAAGTCCAGGTCATTTCCTTCACAGAACTCCAGAACTGTACAGAACCTGGGAGAGGAGACGGACACACACAGTTACATACAGCCAAAAAGATGGAATTCAACAACTGAATGTGAACAAACTGAGGTATTTGTACCTCATGCTCATTCTGATATTCAGTTATTGATTCCTAAGTAGAAAGATAAACTGCTCATCCAGTGGAAGGTCTGGAAAGACTGAAGGCTGAGATGAGAAACTTCCTTTCCCCCTCCTCTAGATGGAGGTCAGAGTTCCGGGTCAGGACTTTCTGCTTCTGAATACGTCCAACTTCATTTTCCAGGCAGGTACTGTATGTCAGCTGCTTGTTTCCAAAGGGAAGCTTTGCTAACATGGGACAATATGAACTGGGCCTAAGCTCAACTCCATACTTAGCATAGAGATGTGTCATCCATTTATCTGGATGAATACACTGTACATGGTTGTCAGACTGGCTACCAGTTTCTTCAGCTCTCTCTTGGGTATGGATGACTTCAACTCATTTCAACCAGGAAGTTAACCATTTAAATATAGCTTCCACTGTCAGGGCATGTTGATGCTGAACCACACATTCTTCTGCTTTTACTATTAATTCCTTCCCAGTCTGATAACGCCACTATGATGTTTGCTCTCACCCTCTGCACCCTCTGACTTAGAGCCTCGAGGCAAACAACTCATGCATTATTCACAAAGGTATGAATCTTACTGATGTGTTGTTTAAAGCTACTGGAAAAAAAAGCTTTTTGTGGTGAAAAACAACCTCAGAATACGTCAATCCAGCATGGCTGAAGCTAGCAGAGGTCAGAGGTCACTCACGTGTCAGTATCCAGAGAGAAGTAGTCATACAGTTTGACTATTCTGGGATGGTCCAGTTGCTTGTGTATCCGGTACTCCCTGCATGCATGCCTGGAAGGAAATAAATGTCAACATAGGTGTGTGTGTGTGTGTTATTGCAGAAACATTGTCTTTGCGTATCTAAAGTTGTGTGTGAACGAGACCTACTTGTGGTAGTTCTCCTTCTTCTCCTCTCTCCAGTTCTTGTTGAGTTGGTGGATTTTAACAGCAGCATAGCGTTGCTCAAACAGGTCAAAAGCCTGTGCGTGACAACACAGACATCTCTAAACACACTTTTCAGACAGAGAGAAAACAGAAAAAGAAGTCCAGCCAAATAGATCTTACCTTATAGACTTCACTGAAGCCCCCCCTGCCCAACAAGTGCAGCAGCAGGTACCTCTCATTCAGAGTGGGGTGGTCTTTAAATCTGTGAGCAGAAACAGAATATCTCAAGTAAGCAAATAAAGTAGTGCCATGCAGAAAAAATGCTCATCGTTCTGATCTAGACATGAATCTAGCAAATTTAAAGGCCTAGCCAACGACTGTAATTCATTACACATTTTGTTATATTCAGCTAAATTTTCTTCCCATTTCTCTGCCTGGTCTTTCAGTTTGCGTGCTCCACACACCCCAGGCGGCTGTGTGCTGTGCTCCCTCTGTAATAGGTTAAAAAAAGGGTTGCCAACATTCCCAACATTGCTGCAGCCATAAGAGAGATGGCTGAAAAAGCACCAGCTCCACCACTTCCACTTACAGTTTACACAACTAAACCGAGGAGAAGAAAGACAGAAGCACAAAAACTGAAAGGAGGACTCTAATCAGGCAAGGTGGGAAACCCATGTAGACATAGCTATGTGCTGCTTTCCAAAGATGGAGAGAGCTCTGGGATTTAAAAGGGATGAGGATGGACACAGATGTTGCTCTTTTTTTCTACTGGACAGGTGGGTAAATAGTTTGCTATGTGCCACTGAATATCGTTATGGTCACTATGTTGTTCAGTTAGGCAGGTTAATCTTTGTGGTAACGTTAGCAAATTAGACATTACTGGTGTCACATTAGCCTGTTTGCTAAATCAACCTTTCCCAGGACATTCAGCTAAATTGCTAGTTTGCAAATGCAAGTGGTTGTTCTGACTTCAGCTACAGCAGCTGGAGACAGGGAATAACAGTGGAGTCTGAGCTGTTAGCCACATGTTGCTAGTATTGTGATACGTCTCCTTTGGCATCAGCTCTTCCCCAGTCCTCTGGCTATCTTTACATTTTTTAACACACTAATAAGAGTAAGACAGGGTGTGTGTTGTTTGAGAGTCCGAGCTGTGTGTCTAATTGTGACCTTGGCCCATTGTGAATAATGTAGTTATGTGATCCTAACTGAAATGACTAGTGGATTTGTGTACCTGGTGATCATAATGTAAACATTATTTTGCTACAATCACCAACTATTATCTTTAAATCTCTTTTTGAAACAACTGGTTTGCAAAGACAAATGACTGTATGGCTCTTCTGAATAATTACAGCAGCAAATATAAATTACATCAGACATTCCCCATTAAATATTTTTATTGCAAGTTTATTATTATCACTAAATTCTGATTTTCATTCATTTCTCAGATGTCTTTAGTCCCAGTCTCAATGAGCTGTGAGGACTTACGCTGAGCTGTCCTCATTGTTGATCCTCTTCAGCTCTCTGATGTGGAGGTTCCTCACCCGCTCCAACCGCTCCAGCTCTGCTTGGATCTCAGCTTCCTCCTACATACACACACAATGAGATGTATAATTTTACATTTCAATTCTTTTTCTGTTAGATTATGCATGTAATTGAATCTCATTTGTGCAGTTATACAGTGTCGACAAACTAAGACTCTAGCTGCCATTTATATCTGCATGTGGGAGCATCTCTGGATCCGCCACAGTTTATATTCTGGCCATTTACTGATTCCACTAGTTAAATCAAGTCTAATGCACACCCGGCAGACATGTGCATTGGAATAGAGAGTGTGTCTTCCTGCACATAGTCAACACTCAGTTTACTGAAAATGCAACACTTCTGTTGCATCTATACATAACGTGCTCTTAATGAGTGATTGGTTAGATGACTGATTAACTGAGTGGTTAGTATTTTTTTTTTACTGACCTTCTTCAGATGTCCAAGGCGGAGCTTGAAGATCTCTTCCTGTTCATGGTACTCAGCAAGGGTCAGTCTGTCAAAATACAGACAAGTCAAAACCTCCCGACAGAACACACATAAAAGCCAACACACTGCATTAGGAATATTAATACTGAACTTCATGATCAATGATGATTGATCATGATCATGACTGAAGTCATGATCAATTCAATTCCATTTCAGCTTCCAATGCTTTTACTAACCCTCCAACAGAAAAGAGAATTTGTGACAGACCAAAGGAAATGAAATCCAGGCACTAGCTAAACAGTACCTTTAACCCTGTGTAGTAGTGTAGCTGGACTGACGCTGATACTGTGGTATCTGATCAAGATCTTAACACATCTGATGTGATCAAACTTTGACAGTCTACTTTTTTATATAAACAGTGGTGATAATAAATGACAGCTTGTTGCACAAAGCAGTTCTCAGTAAAGTGTAAAGAAAAAACAGGCTGTAAAACACGACCCAAATTGTAAAACACCTACAGTGAAAACATCACGCACGGGATGACAATCCCTCACATTCTTAGTGGCTGAGCCTCCTCCAGTTTCCTACTGACAGTATGTACAGTATTTATTTCAGTGTACTCACAGCTGGGGCAAGGAGGGCTTGAGGAATGGGTCAGGATCGTTGCCATTGACCACCTTGGTTTTTCGTTGCTTGGGTTCAGAGGTGGAGGCCACTGAAATGGAGGGCGACGGGTTTGGAGGCTTCCTCTTGGCCAGTAGTTTCCTCTGTCGCTCTATGTCCTCCCTCTGCTGGTTGATGCCCTCCTGTTGCCTGTGAGAGGGAGAGAATGGGTCATATGGGAAATAGTGGAACAGACAATAAACAGCCAGGTAATAATTACCAAAGTTTAGAGCTCTTCAGTGCTGTTTTTAAACACCCAATGCAAAATATCAACAAAACCTAGAGAGCATCTGGCTGGATTAAAAAACACTGCATGTGACAATCTCTCACTTGATCAGGTTCTGGAATGCGTATCCGTCCGTCCACTGCTCTGTGTAGGACGCTCCGTGTCTGACGGTGGTGAAGTGACCGAGACGGAGACGGTCCTGCATGCTCTTCTCACGACACGACTGCTTCTCCTGTGTGCTCTGTGCACAAAACCACACACGCAGGCATAGGCATGATAGATAATAGTGGGATAGAGACAGTGTTCCTCAATTATGTGTAGATTCAAATTTAAAATGCATTGCATTATATTTATTCATCTGACAGTACAAACAAGGTGCAATCCAAGCCACGCTGAGTCAAGGAGATCTAGGTTATATTCCCATGTGGAATAAAAGTGTAAAAGGTATGGGTTCAAGACATTAAATAGCAACATTCAAGACCAAGTCCCACGACCAGTGTGCCTTTCTGTGCCACCTTTACAACCAATAAACAAGTTTATTCTGTAGCACACTAGCTGTGTAGTGTAATGCGTTCCCTCTTTTAGGCCCTCACTTAACACGGCTTCAAACTTCAGATGTGGTTTTTAATTGAATGTGCAGTGAATACACAAAAGTGTGCATGCATTCAAAAACATACCTTTTCTATAAGCAGTTTCTTGCTCATGGTGATGCACTTGTTGAGCCTCTCCTTGTATTTCTCTAGGAGTTTTTGCTGTTCATCGATCTGTCTACGCAGGTCACAGTTAGCCTGTCAAGAAAAGACAGACAGCAGGGAGAATGTTAAATTCGGTCGTGCTACATAGAAGAAAAAAAAAACATTAAATGACATTCTGAATATATTATCTACAGTGCTGTGAAAAAGTGTTTGCCCCCTTACTGATTTCTTATCTTTTTGCATGTTTGTCACACTGTAATGTTTCAGATCGTCAAACAAATTTAAATATTAGTCAAAGATAACACAAGTAAACACATCATGCAGTTTTTAAATGAAGGTTTTTATTATTAAGGGAAAACAAAATCCAAAACTATATAGCCCTGTGTGAATAAGTGTTTGCCCCCTAAACCTAATAACTGGTTGGGCCACCCTTAGCAGCAACAACTGCAATCAAGCGTTTCCGATAACTTGCCATGAGTCTTTTACAGCGCTGTGGAGGAATTTTGGCCCACTCATCTTGGCAGAATGGTTGTAAGTCAGCCACATTGGAGGGATTTCGGGCATGAACTGCCTTTTTAAGGTCATGCCACAGCATCTCAATTGGATTCAGGTCAGGACTTTGACTAGGCCACTCCAAAGTCTTCATGTTGTTTTTCTTCAGCCATTCAGAAGTGGACTTGCTGGTGTGCTTTGGATCATTGTCCTGCTGCAGAACCCAAGTTCGCTTCAGCTTGAGGGCACAAACGGATGGCCGGACATTCTCCTTCAGGATATGTTGGTACACAGCAGAATTCATGGTTCCATTTATCACAGCAAGCCTTCCAGGGCCTGAAGCAGCAAAACAGCCCCAGACCATCACACTACCACCACCATATTTTACTGTTGGTATGATGTTCTTTTTCTGAAATGCGGTGTTACTTTTACGCCACACAGAATGGGACACACACCTTCCAAAAAGTTCAACTTGTGTCTCTTCTGTCCACAGACTATTATCCCAAAAGTCTTGGGGATCATCAAGATGTTTTCTGGCAAAACTGAGACGAGCCTTTATGTTCTTATTGCTCAGCAGTGGTTTTCGTCTTGGAACTCTGCCATGCAAACCATTTTTGCCCAGTCTCTTTCTTATGGTGGAGTCATGAACACTCACCTTAACTGAGGCAAGTGAGGCCTGCAGTTCTTTGGATGTTGTTGTGGGGTCTTTTGTGACCTCTTGGATGAGTTGTCGCTGCGCTCTTGGGGTAATTTTGGTCGGCCGGCCACTCCTGGGAAGGTTCTCCACTGTTCCATGTTTTCGCCATTTGTGGATAATGGCTCTCACTGTGGTTCGCTGCAGTCCCAAAGCTTTAGAAATGGCTTTATAACCTTTTCCAAACTGATAGAGCTCAATTATTCTCTTTCTCATTTGGTTTTGAATTTCTTTGGATCTCGGCATGATGTCTAGCTTTTGAGGATCTTTTGGTCTACTTCACTTTGTCAGGCAGGTCCTATTTAAGTGATTTCTTGATTGCGAACAGGTGTGGCAGTAATCAGGCCTGGGTGTGGCTAGAGAAATTGAACTCAGGTGCGATAAACCAGTGTTTTGACAGGGGGGCAAACACTTGTTCACACAGGGCTATATAGTTTTGGATTTTGTTTTCCCTTAATAATAAAAACCTTCATTTAAAAACTGCATGATGTGTTTACTTGTGTTATCTTTGACTAATATATAAATTTGTTTGACGATCTGAAACATTACAGTGTGACAAACATGCAAAAAGATAAGAAATCAGTAAGGGGGCAAACACTTTTTCACACCACTGTATTCATCCTTCTGTGTTCTCAGCGTCGCTACACAGGTAACAGACAATGAACTCACCCTGAGCAGGTCATCTATTCGTCCCTCTTTCTTTTCCAGGTCCAGATTCTTGTTGCTTTCCAGAGCAGCTAGTTTCAGACCAGTCAGCTCCGTCTAAGAGAACCAGGCAGAGAGCTACTCAGATGTGTCTTAATAAATGTATACTGCAGTAAAAACTGGCAGAAAATGTCGTGTGTGTTTCATGTGTATGTCATATTACCTGAACACACTTGCTGGAGGATGCTTTGGGATTGGGTTCCCCAAAAGACAGACTCGTAGGGGAGGAGCTATTCTGTCGGACCTGCAGACAAAGACGTATTGTTGAACCTTGTAGTAACATACAGCATAGAGACTCACATCCACGTCATGTGAAAATAACTCATCAGAAACCCTTGTGTAAAGCAATCGACTGTTTGTCAAACACTCACAATTGAGCCCGGGGCAGAGTGTGAGTTCTGTGGAGAGCGGCGAGCTGACGGGAGGCCTCGCACTGGACTGGAACCATTTCCACCCTGGAACTTGGCAAAGAAAATAAATGGGTAAACTAAAGAATCAGGTTCAAAGTGATAACAACAGTGCCATACTGTGTGTATATAGTATGCACACATTGAGAGCCGCTGTACCAGAGTCAAATTCCTCGTGTGTCCAACACACCTGGCCTGTAAAGCTGATTCTGATATGAGAGTATCACCAGTTGTAGTAATACTCACATCAAAGTAGTCGCTGATCTTGGGCCCACGTGTGGAGGTCTTCCCTGCACAGGATTTATATGTATGCCATCAGAAACACACAGATAGCTAATGTCACTGATTCTGTGCAGGTGTCAGCCATACCTTGACTACTCTCTGAATAGGTGTCAGCTTTCCTCTTCCTCCCCCTGGATGATTCAGAGGGCTTCTTCTCTGGAGTCTGTAAATCGATATGAAACAGAAGAAGGGGGTTAAAAAAAAAAAAAGCATAAATCTCTTGTGTTTCACCTAACAAAGCAGGATCCAGTGATGGTGTTCTGCAGGAAAGAACAGTAGGAAGAAAGTACATACTGAGTAGGCAGGGGAGCTCCCTCTTTTCAAATCAGAGTTCTAGGAAGAGAGGAGAAGAAGAGGTGGAGGTGGAGGGAAAGACAGAAAGACAAAAGAGGCGAGAGAGGAAAAAACAGAGCACTGACAACATGGGTCTGTATAGAAGGTGTAATATTTAATTTCAGTTTCTCATCTTTATCCACTGCAATAATGATGATGATGTCTGTGTGTGTGTTTTACCTCTGACTCTTTGTCGCTGGATGAGCCCAGACTGCCATAGCTATGGTTAGAGGACTCACTGGCCAGACCCTACACACAGTGGAAATTCAAACAAACAAGTGAACACAAACTATATGAAAACAGTCAGCACAGGTGTGTGATGTTGCCAGAGATCAGTGACAAAATTTAAACAACAGTGAAACTAAACCTGCAGGCCTGATTGGAATCCAGACCTTCAGTTACTAGGTGTGTCACCTGGCCCTGTTCCACCACAGGAACATTTCCAGGTATGTGGCATCCCTTTTAGGAATAAAGGAACGTTTACCTATTCTCCATCATGGGAATTTGTTTGGTGTTTACTTCCTGAACCCAAAAAGTCCCTGCTCCTGACGTACAACTTCTGATGCTCTACTAACTATCATGCTGGAGTTAGTCACACTATAAACACAAGCCTCTGGACTTCATCAACTTGTATACAGCACGTTTTCTGCTGATTGGTTGTTGTTGGTAGTAAATCTTGGAATTTCTTGTTACTGACATGTAAAAAGTAAAACAGCGCTTTTTGGAATAGTTTCCAAAAAGTGTTGTTTTGTGAGCAAAAACAAATCTGTTTAAACAATTATCAGTCAGAAAACAGGAACGCACTAAAGGAACATTTACCTCCTGAGGCTCTTTTGGTTCAACTCGGTTTGTTTGTGGCCTCATAAAGGCTTTGGTTTTTCTACGTCGCTGTTACCTTAGCACCTCCACTGGTGCTCCCAGTGCTTCCTCCTGTGTTTCCGCTGACAGCTCCTGTGAACCTGGCCTCCAGCAGCTCCTGTCTCCTTGGGTCCAGGCTGTGCAGCTCCTCCATGGGGCCTAGAATGAGAGGGTATCATCACAGTACAGGTGCTTACATTATCACAGTTCATCCATAGAGTAGAGAGTAGTAGTAGTAGTAGAAGGATTCAAAGCAAAACGTACTCCTGTGACAAAACTACTAGCAAGTAATAAAAATGAGCACTAGGAGAAGAAATTGAGAACAGTATCTGGAGGAGGACTGTAGAAAATTAGAATAATTAGAAGATAAAAAAAGAAAAACAGATTTAACTGTATATGCAGCAGCTAGCCCTCTTAACAGATGCACTTTCATCCGAAGATGACAGACACTTTCGATGAGTGACACAGCAGTTCTAACTTAAGCAAGAAGGTTCTATTACCACTGGGGAGGCAGAAGAGTCAAAACCAAATGGAGAGAATCCACCAGTTTATTGACAAAAATCTTCAACCAGCTCTTCTGTGTCTTCATTAGTCAGACTGCAACAGTGGCCTCATTGCACAATGATAACCTAGTCTCTAACATGTAGGGATCCTGACACTTCCGATAGTGCACAATAATAGCGAAGGACAATGGAAGTTTTATCCTGGATTAAAATTTTCTGACATGCAGCAACGCCGCTGAAAAATAGATGTGAGCCCAATTTAAATGCTACACATGTGCACAAATGCTACACGACAGTGGTGCGGTGGGTAGAGCGGTCGTCTCCCAACCAGAAGGTTGAAGATTCGAATCTCGGTGCTGGCAGTCCACATGTCAGAAGTGTCCTTGGGCAAGACACTGAACCCCCCCGATGGTTAGAGCCATCAGTTGAGGTGGCGCCGCAGATGGCTGCCATAGGTTCTGTACCGGAAACAAATTTCTTGTAACATACTTGGCCAATAAAGGTGATTATCCTTATCCTGTTGAAAAAGGGCAGCTTTTAGTTTTATGTGTTCATCTTCTCAATGTATAGCAAAATTTGCAGAAGTCCAAGTGGCAAGCCACTGCAGCTGCAAATCAGAACCACAATGCAAATAAAAATGACTCGCACAAGCAGCAGGATAAACATACAGTATATGCTGCCTGAGTAGACCTTGTTCTATGACAACTGGTTTCTTGGGAGAGACGCACACAAGTCCTCCCTGCAGACTACTGCTTCTGCAAGTGTTTGTTTCCTGACTATAATCTTTACACAGCTTTTGACATAGGGGCATGTCCTAAAAGGCATAATGGACATTATGAAACCCCTGAGCAGTGAAACAGAGTGCACAACAAGGCCTGTGTGAGGTTAACTAAGGACAGGGGAGAGAGTTATTTGCTAGAGCTTTATATTACACTATTTTGTCTCTTGCTGCTCCTGGGTACAATAATTATAACTGATTTTTTTTATTAGCATTTTTTAAGACTATCACTGTCTAAAAGTTTTTAATATACCACGTCCTATATACCTACTAAGCAGGAAGATTATAACCAATTGCTCCCACTTACACTGTTATGTCTCTTCATGTCAAACTCAGCAATATCGTGGTAAACTAAATCTCAACATGTCGACAACGAACAGATGCATTCACACTGGCCAAAAAGTAACAAAATGGGGCCTGTTTTCAAGTTCATCATAGTAGCAGGGACATGCATTGCAATGCATAAATGGATGGATGCATAGCTACGTTGTTTCATATCCAACTAGATGGTGTTGATGGAAGACAAATATAAAAACTGCTACAACTGCTGCTGCTGCTAAACACTGTTATCGTATCAACAACTGAGAAACAAGAAATCGTGTAAGCTGACAGTGACACAAACCAGACAACAAGCTAGCGCTGCCTTTGTGCAAACATGATAGCTTGCTGCTACTTATATTGGCCGTCAACTGAACTGACAGCTGACGTTTGGCTTCCAATTCACGGCATCAGTGAACTTGACATCCATTTTTACTTCAGCAAACGTTAGCTCTACACGGCCAAAATAATCCACTTCTCCAGCAAAGGGCACACTTTAAGGAAAGTACGAGTCTTTCGTGTACTTAGCAAGCTGATATACCTTCCTTGCTCTTTGCGGTTGCCGTTATATGTTGTTGAGGAATCGTTGGGGACGAAGAGAGCTGCGACCAAGATGGCGTCGCCTCCAAACTTCCACCACCACTTCCACTGTTACTTTGGACACTCATGAAGCCACTTTACCGCCGAGAGGAGCCAGCGTACACACTACGGTTCGCGGAAATCCCAAACTTGGGTCCATCGCTTGACACCTGCTGTAGCCACAGGGGCCAGTAAACGTGAGTTAGTCCGTTTTTGCGTTGCTAGACGTCTCGCATTTTGTGACCTGTACAGATCCTGCGGAGGAGCGTCTTGTTCTGAGACTCGCTGAAACTGATCCAATGTAACCTTTGCATGATGACCGCACCGCGCGCCTGTCAACATCCAGTTCGCGAGCAGAGCTTTGATTCTAGTAGGCGAGGTTATCGCGAGGCTGGCGCGCACCTAGCAGCGCCATGGGAGATGGCATGACACCGACACAGACACTGATCTGGGATCACTTTACCCTCCTCCCAACTTCCCTTAGGTTCACTGAAAGGCACAACTCAGCGTCGACCCGAGAACAGCCTCTTGCTTTGGTGAAAACAACAAACACTCCGAAAAAATGGCCGAAAGTTCCTATCTGCTTGTGGAGAACGAAGCAAAACAGAAACGCGCGCGCGCGCACGTCTATTAATGTATGTATGTATGTATATTGAAGGACCTAAGCGTCCT